GGAAGGAAGGAAGGAAGGAAGGAAGGAAGAAAGGAAGGAAGGAAGGAAGAAAAAAAAGAAAAACAACAAAGCTTCTTTTAACCAGTCACCCCAGAGGTGATATCCTTTCCTAATTGGTCCATCTGCAGGAAGCGCCTTGCTAATTTGCATAAAAGCACATTAGTGCTAGGGGTGGTCCTACCATTGCTTTCCTTTCAGGGTTCCTGAAGGTCCTGCCGCCTCTGCTTCTCTCGGCCGCCTTGACCCTGTCATTTCAGTGATGGGCAGCAGAAAACCCTGGGCTCTGGTTCCCAGCCCACTTCCTGCCGGCCAGGATGGCAGAGGCAGCCAGTGCTCAGCCACAGACGAGAGGCGGAGGCTCCCGCGTGCCGGCTCTGCGCCCTCCCTAGTCCTCACTGCGGAAAACCAGCCCTGCTTTTAACTGATGCTCTTTCTCCTAATGGGATTTGTGACATGTCTGTCCTTGAGGTCCCTGTCTCCTGAAGAGTGCAGCAGAATAATAATGGTAGAAGACTGGCCTTTGGAGTCAATCATTCATTCAAGAAATATTTGCTGTGGGTGGAAGAATCAAACAAATAGATCCCATCCTTAGGAAGTTTGTATCTGCTCAGAGAATCAAAGGCAACCCACATTATGCTGTGTGACCTTAGATAAGATACACAATGTTTCTGAGCCTCATCTATGTATCCATTCACACATCTACCCATCCATCCACTTATCCATCCATCTACACATTCATCTATCCACCCACCCACCTAGCTATCCATCTACTCACCCATTCCCCTAACCATTTCTCCATCTGTTCATTTATCCATCCATTTATCCATCCATCCATCCATCAAAAATATCTTTACTGAACTGCTACGTTGCTAGGTGCTGGGATATAGTTGTTATCACAGAGAACAAGTCAGACACAGCCCCGGCCACCCCACTTCTTCTGAATGAAAAGAGAGAACTTGAACAAGTAACTCCAAGGCACAGATGTTTGGAAGTGCAGTGTTTCATAGGCAATGCCTGCTTTTATAAAAAACAAAAACAAAGCAAAACAAAACAAAAAAATCCCCACTCCTTGTAAGGCTCATTGAATTTTCCAGACACATTTCTGAGGACCGTGGATGTGTCAGGCTCTGTGCTGGGAACTGGGGAAGCAGAGATGGAAAAGCAGACAAAGCCCTGCCCGTGGGGGCTTCTCATGATTAGCAGAGAGAAGGGGTGGGCTTGCAGTGTTGGGATTCCTTCCATCCATTGCACATCTCCCTCCCAGCCTGGGAAGCTGAGGGTCTGTTTCCAGGGAAACACCAGCAGTGGAGATTTAGTCCAATCTCCCCACGGGTAGAGGCCTTGCTGGCAGCCCTCCAGAATGGACAAAAGCAGAAGCAATGGAGTTTCTGAATCCAGGAGAACCCAGATAGCCCAAGGGTCCTTGGACGTCTTTGTCGAACAGGTGGAAAGAGAGGAATCTAGATGGGAACTCTCTGTCCTGGCCCAGCTGTTTCCCTGGACTCTGGGCTTCCAGGAGAGGCCAAGGCCTCGTTGGGACCCTGGGGAAAACCACATGTGTGTATCTGCAAAAGAGAACAGGCTGGCAGCCCATCTCACAATCAGGGCCTCTTATCACACTCAGTGTGCACAATTGCTGCCTCTCCATAAAAGCTTTACGTAAGAGGCCTCCAGGCTGGTTCCAGCCAGATCCATGGTCAGTCTGTGGTCAGCTGGGCTTAGCTGACGAGGTATCCTCTCATCTGACTTTGACTTAGGCACAACTGAACTGAAAGGAAAAGAATCTAGGCCAAGAAAAAGAAAGCTGAAGGCCAAAAAACAACTGCTGTGGGTGAGGGTGGGGTGGGGGGAAGAAAACACATCAGAATTATTATGTCTCTTTGTTCCTGATCCCTTTTTTTCCTCTCTTGTTTTCTGTCTGTTAGTATTCAGCTCAGTTTATCTAACAGAGATTTGAGGCATAAAGTTCAATGCCAGTGTGTGTGTGCACACACATGCACACACACTAGTACTGGGGCTTGAACTCAGGACTGTATGTTCTTCTTCTTTTTTGCTCAAGGCTGGTGCTGTAACCATTTGAACCATACCTCCACTTCCTGCTTTTTAATGGTGAATGTAAATAAGAGTCTCACAGACTTTCCTTTCCCGAGGCTGGCTCCAAACCTTGATCCTCAGAGCTCAGACTCCCAAGTAGCTAGGATTACAGGTGTGAGCTGCTGGCTTCACCAGGCATTTTTATAGGTAGCAAGGAAACAGCACGTAATTAAAATAGAGTCCTTTCTGGTAAGGAACTTAAATATAAAAGAAGAAAGACATTTATACAATACCCATGTGCAATGTGAAAGATGGTGGAAAATACTGTTTTTTAAAAAACAACCAAGAAAGAATCATAGTGCAGAGATGGTGCTGTTTGATATAAGGTGATCATGTGGGGGTGGAAGCAAATCTCTATAAGATAATAGGAGAAGGAACAAAATCAGGGGGTGGGACTGAGAGGCCATGATCGCCACAAATCCTATGTATAAGGAGAGAGAAGGTTAAGACTGACTGTTGGGGAGACTGGGTGGGACCTGGACAAATGGAATGGAGTAATGGACTACGTCATAGATCTAGTAGTCCTAAGCTCACATTTGGGGGGGATTCTTCAACAGCCCAAGGCATAGAGAAGTGTCTTGTTGTACCTTTTCCTCTTCTGGATTGAGATTTGGCTAGAAGGTATTGCCAAAGTCAAGAGCCCTCAATAACCTTGGCTCTGTAAGAGTCCTGGAGAAAGCCCAGCCTTGGTGGTTCACTCCTGTAATCCCAGCTACTCAGGGGGCTGAGGATCTAGAATTGGAGTTTGAAAGCAGCTAACGCAGGCACGTCTGTGAGACTCTGATCTTCAGTTAACCACCCAAAAGCTAAGTGGTTCAAGTGGTAGAGCATCAGTCTTGAGCAAAAGAAAAGAAAAGAAAAGCTAAAAACAGAGCCCAGGTCTTGAGTTCAAACCTGAATACAACACACACACACACACACACACACACACACACACACACACATCCATCCCAGAGAAACAGAGAAGAGACAAAGGCTATTGGTTGTATACCAAAGCTCTAACTCCTTTATTAACTCCACAAGTTCAACCCTAAGGTCAGGCCTGCAGATTCACATTCTCAGATCAGTTCTATGTCTTCCACTGTGTGCAAGGATTGGAGGAAAGCTTGAGAAGTTCAGGGGCTTCCCATGTTCCTTTGCACAAATCACCATGGACCAAATGGACCCTTTGCAGATGTCTCCATACTAAAGATCTGGGTAGACTCTGTGAGCCAAGTCTAAGAAACACTCATCCATCCATTTTTCCTCCTTTATTCCCTTGCCCTCATGGGCCTCCAAGCTAATAAAGGCCAGAATGGCTGTTGGATCATTAACTTGGCACACAAGATCCTTCTGAAAGCTCACTGTGCAAACAAGTACTTGTTTATTTTTTTCACCACTTTCCTTTACATATTGCAACTTCCTTTTCATTAGTATTTGGGTTGCGGGTGACAGGTGGCAAAGGTGGAGGGATAAATATTTGCTCCAATCAAATATACATGGACTTACCACAAGGGTTTATTATAAGGGTTAGATTTGTGAAAAGGAATGGCTGAAAATTGACACTGTCCCATGAATTCAACGGTCTGTATATATTGCGATTGTTTATGGAGAAGCATTTGCATGAAGGAGAATCTTCTGCAAGCATTTACATGGGGTGGGATGGATTTGGGCAGCGGAGGGGTGGGGGTAGGGCCCTTCTTTCGCCACCTTTTGTGGTAAATTGCTTATCTTTCCTGGGAATCTAACTGGAGTCCGACCATAGCACCAATCACGAGTGGCCACATGGGTGGAAAATTCTCATAAAAAGCCCACAGCAGGCTGTATTCTCACAGCTCACAGGACAGAGAGGAAAGTTCTGGGTTCTTACCCCAAGGTAAGTCCTATTCTGAGCTACTGTGAGCTTCTTCTTCCTCCTTGGGAGATGATTCTCCTTACCTCCCTGGATCTGGGAGGACTGTGTGTTTCTGGAAAATAGAACAGAACCCAGGGAGGAGTGTGGGGCTTGGCCACAGTCGAGCACTTCTGGAATCATTGTCTGACTGGACTCAGCCTCGTTTCACACACCTGCTCTCCTCTGGGGTGGGGCGACATCTCTAGGAAGTATGGTCCCTGTGCTCCCCCATCCCAGCTCTCTCCTGCCATGTCTGCCATGTCCCTTCCAGAAACAGATCGTCTGAAGTCCTGACACCCTTCTAGAACATTCTACTGCTTTGCTTGCTGTCAAGGTCATCCCCTTGGTAAGTGCCCTATTCCTGTAGTTGACCCACCTCATTGAAGGAAGTCATATCTGCTCTGAAGCAATGGAGCCCTTCAGGAAGGAAGCCCTTGGCTCCATTTTTGAGAACAGGGGTATGTGGGCTTAAGCAAACAAGTTTGTGTTTTGCTGGTCTTAGGACTTGAACTCAGGGCCTGGGCTCTGTCCCTGAGCTTTTTGTTTCAAGGCTAGCATTCTACCACTTGAGCCACAGTGCCACTTGGGGGCTTTTTTTTTGAGTAGTTCATTGAAGATAAGAATCTCACAAATTTTCCTGCCCGGACTGGCTTTGAACCATGATCCTCAGATGTCAGCCTCCTGAGGAGCTAGGATTACAGGTGTGAGCTATCAGCGCCCAGCCTGAGCAAACTATTTAACCTGCAGCAGCTTGCTTACACATAGAAGCCAAGTAGCCTGATATATCTTGCCTGGATTCATGAACTCTTGAACCTTTGCCTCATTAGAGTGAGGAGGTGAGAAGATGTTTTCTGTAGGATGGCACCTAGCCTTGCTTGTCGCAAGGTAGGTTAGAAGCTTGGGTGCAAATGGTGCCACAGGGCCAGAGCTGAAGGCTGTGGGTTCTCATCCGACCCTTGCTCTGGAAGGTGAGCACGTGTGCCTCCTGCCCGTGTAGAGCATTTGTTTCCCTCTCGTGCAGCTGCATGGGGAGTGCGCACGCGCTGAAGTGACCTACGGCTCTCACCTTTTGGAAAGAACGATGATAGGCTCAGACCTCCTGTGGCTGGCCTTGGCCTCCTGCGTTCTGACCCTGGCAGCTGAGGCGCTCCAAGGCGAGTACTAGTCTCACCTGGCATCTTGGATGCCCACAAAGATGTGGGGAGGGGTGGTGGTGGTGAGGAACAGACTAGGTGTCTCAGGGCAGCAGGAGGAAGAGGCAAAGATTCAGAGATAGAGATCAAGGAGAACTTGGAAAGCAGAAAGGGAACCTGGCGTCAGGCACTCTGAGTTGGGTTGGAAATACCCTGGGAAAACAGGGGAAGACAGTTTCCATGGTTGCCTGTGCCTGTGTCTGGTAGGGTCCCAGGCTGGAGATGCTGAGGAGGTCAAGCATCCAGGCCACTTGGTTTGGGCGAGTATTCTCTCCAACTCTGCATCGCAGTGCTGATCAGCAGAGTGGAAAAGCTTTATCTGTCTCTCCGGTATCTCTCAGGACTCTATGAACCGGGCAGCTTAGAAACCTGACAAAGAAAGGATTTAGACCAAAGAGAGAGCACGAGTGAGCCCTGTGTGTATGGGGGGAGGGGGGCTTTGGAAGAACTCGGCTCCCAGCCTCCCATGAGAAGATACAGAGGTGTTTGGGATGCGATCCAAGACTAACAAAGACAGCCATTGGTTACCTTAAACCAAACATATTTTCCTTTGGTTTCCTTAAACCAAACAGCTGGGAAAATCGCTTTCTGAGAGGCCTCTGTGACGTGTCATAAGAATGGGATCCCACGGACCTTCTTTGTCCATTCAAGGCACCAGAATCAAACCACATAATCAGAACTAGAGTCAACTGGCTTACCTTGGATATGCCCTACTGGGCATTTTATACTAGTCACCCCACTGCATGCATCCCCTAGCAATCTTTAAGGCTTTAGTTCTCAAATGCAGCGTACACATACCAACAGGACTCCAGTCATAACAAGCTCTTTCGATGTGTGCGTGTGTGTGTGTGTGTGTGCGTGCGTGCGTGTGTGTGTGTGTGCGTGTGTGTGTGTGTGTGTGTGTGTGTGTGCATGCGCCCATGCACATGCACCACACCTGGGATTTGAACTTAGGATTTGGATGCTGTCCCTGAACTTTTTCACTCAAGGCTGTCAGTCTACAACTTGAGCTATAGCCCTATGTTTGGGCTTTTGGGGGGCTAATTGGAGATAAAGAGTTTCACAGGCTATCCTGCCTGGGCTGGCTTTGTACCTTGATCCTCAGCTCTCAGCCTCCTAAATAGCTAGGGTTACAGGTGCGAGCTGCTGGCACCCAGATACTTTCACCATTTTTTAATACTTGTTTATTTATTTTCATACATATGAAATACTATCATTTAGTGCACCATACCTATGTTGTCACTGACACCATTCTTTTAAGATAAAACCAATTTTTAAAGACAGTCTTTGAAAGAAACCTTGTAAGTCAATAAATAGGATAGGCAGACACCCACGTTTAGAAATGGCACAATCATAGGCATGGGGGTGTGGGAAACTAGTTCTCAGGGCGCTTTTGCAGGTGAGTCTCAGGAGAGCTCATGACCTGCTAAGGTTCCTGGACAACAGATGAAGAACTGGATGAAACCCTTGGACCAGCCTGGTCACCCTATTTCATCCCTTGCCTGCCTCTTTATACATTACAGCCCCTAAAGTGCTCAAGGAACCAATCACAGGAGATCAACTATCAGACATGGTCCTAGTCAGTCAGTGTTTCTCCACTGCAGATGACTTTGCCTCCCAATAGACATTTGGTAATGCCTGGAACCAACTTGGGGGTGGGGGTAGGGGGCCGCTTCTGGCATCTGGTGGGGTGCTGGATGGTGGCCAGGAAGTCTGGTACATGTTCTATGTTCTGTTGTAAAGATGATTCCACCAGAAAGAAGGGCCCACCGGCACTCCAGCTGCGCAGGGTTGAGACATCTGGAGTTAGAATCGTATCAATGAATTTGGGGACGTGCCTCAGGTTTCTGGGAATGGGAGGGGTTTAGGATTTCTTCATTTCAGTTTCGGTGCTTCCAAGGCAAGCTCTGGGACAACTTCTCATTTATTTATTCAAATAATGCTTGAGGGTTTCCCCAGGGGGCTTGCAGGACCCTTTCAGGAATCACATATTGGTCAAACAGGGCAGGTAGGTGCCAATGGCTCACACTTATAATCCTAGCTACTCAGGAGGCCGAGACCTGAATATCCTAAAAATATCCAAAAAATCCCATGAGGCTTCTAGCTCTGGTTGACCAGCAAAAGACCAGAAGTGGAGGACTGGTTCAAGTAGCAGAGCACCAGCCTTGAGTGAAAAAGCAAAGCGAGAGTGTGGACACACACACACACACACACACACACACAGAAGTAGTACTGCCTTGCATGGTATCAGGGGCAATGGAGCATTGGACAGGGAAGTGACCCTGATCTCAGTGCATTTAAATACCATGCAAAGTCCTCACAAATGATCTGGTCCCCAGGCGCTGGTGTGTAATAGTGAATATTGTGTATGTTATCTTCATTTGGTCATTGGCACATCTAAAGCAAAAGGCAGGGTGTAAAAATCCCAGAGGCGTGGGGCTGGGAAGGTGGCTCAGTGGTAGAGTGCTTGCCTTGCATGCTTGAGGCCCTGGGTTCGATTCCTCAGCACCACATAAGCAAAAAGAAAAAAGCCAGAAGTGGCGCTGTGGCTTAAGTGGTAGAGCGCTAGCCTTGAGCTGAAGAGCTGAGGGACAGCGCCCAGGCCCAGAGTTCAGGCCCCACGACCGGACCCAAAAAAAAAATCCCAGAGGCCACGAGTCACCTAATAACCTCTTCTCAAGCACACTTCTTTCCATTTCTAAAATACAGAAAACCCAGAGAAGCCAGTTCCTATAAGGTGGACTTGGTATGTGGAGACCCTGGCACCCCAGAAGCCAACCTCTGTTTTGACCCCTGCCAAAATTATACCCTGCTGGATGACCCGACTCGCAGCACACAGAACACAGAAGAAGTAGAACTGTGTGATCAGGACATGCATGGCTGGTACCGCTTTGTGGGCGAAGGAGGAATCCGGATGCCGGAGACCTGCGTCCCAGTGTATCGATGCCAGACAGCCGCTCCATTGTGGCTGGACGGGCCCCACCCTGTCCTGGGCGATGGCATTGTCAACCGCACTGTCTGTGCCCACTGGAGCGAAAATTGCTGTTTCTGGCAGTCGGAGGTGCTGGTGAAGGCCTGCCCGGAAGGGTACCATGTGTACCGGTTGGACGGCACCCCTGAATGCTCCCTGAGATACTGCACAGGTGAGCAACGACAGTGACTGACACCCACTGTAGTAAAGCGAGGATCTGAACCCAGGCACTCTACTCTGGGTCTCGAGGGGCTTTGCTATGGTACTGCACCATCTCACACCATTACCATGGGAACCAGCCGAGCTAAGGTTTGGTATGTGGTAAGCCTTCTAAAGGTGGTGGTTTGGGGGCCCCCTCAAAGCTTCACCCCAGACTGGAATCTGGAAGCCATAATCTGAGTTTAAGGCCTGGCCTTAAACTGAGTTTAAGGTCTTTCACCCCCTTAGAAAAACTCTTGCACTCCAGTGGAATGGGAAGTTTGGACCTGGGCATCTCACATCCACCCCGCTCTCCATCCTGACCCTCTTCCTTCATCCTTCATCCTCTAGATCCCTCCACCGTGCAGAGCTCATGTGAGAAGGAGTGTCGTCCCGAGGAGGAGTGCCTGGCTCAAGATGGCGTCTGGAGCTGTGTCTGCAGAAAGGATCTCAGTGACTCTGGTGAGCAGTTCTCGGGGCTGCTGGCTCCTCTCTTGAGTGGGCAGAGTAGGGACAGGGGAGTCTTGGAGGGTAGGGGTCTGAGTCAGGGGTGAGGAATAAAGCTGAGGATGGGGGACATCCCACAGGTTCTCCAGTCTACAGTGCCACAAAGCCAGTGGGTTTGCAAAGATGAGAAAAGGTAGGAGCAGAGGAAAGGTAGAGGCCCGCCTCTGGACCACAGCCTCAGGAAATGGTTCAGGGAGGAGCAGGCTGGAACTGATGGGCAACACTGAAATAAAAGACAAGAACTCCACAAGTCTGAGAGTGGTATTCAAGTATCCATAGAGTCTTCATCTATGACCACCAGGACAGGATGCCCATGAAGAACTCATTGGAGGGACATTGAATGTATGGATGAATACAACAGTCAAAAACCTGGCTAGGGATGCTGGCTCTGCAGAAGAGCCACCTAGCTTTGATTCTAATACCTCAATGTTCAAGAAGAACATTAGCCAAGTCTGCACACAGGGTGCTTGGGAAATCTTGGAGCAGAAGCTGTGTGTAAGTTCCTCCTGGGTCTCAGGCTCCTTTTAGTCTCCTGGTAGGTGTGGTGGTTTTTTTGCCAAAGGGCAAGGAAAATAAGCTGTGTCCTATGTCTCCACTTGATCCAACTCTTGGCTTTGCAGATGTTCACAATTTGCAGCCTCAGCTGGACTGTGGGGCCCAGGAGATCAAGGTGAAGCTGGATAAGTGTTTGCTGGGACCTCTGGGCTTTGGGGAGGAGATCATTGCGTACCTGAAAGATTGGAACTGCAGCAGCGTGATGCAGACAGAGGATGGAAACTGGGTGTCCACCACCAGCCCCGTCCAGGCTCATGCCTGTGGGAATATTCTGGAGGTAAGGGTTGTTCAGGCCACCGTGGCCAGAAGAGCCAGAGGCAGGCTAATGGAACCTATCTTAGTAGCTGTGAGATCATGGGCCAGTTACTTAACCTCTCTGGGTGTACTGCATATGAAGAGTCCAAGATGGATCTGACGTGACAGCTCCATCAATGTAAGCTAGGATTATGATGAGCTTCACTTAGGGAAGATGTGGGGAGGAACACACAGAGAAGTGATCATGGAGGTCCTTGATTCCTCTCCAGGGTCAGTCATCTATTGTTCTCATTTTTATTCTGGGTTCCTCCTGGTTTTATTCTGGAGAAGTCTCCTTCATCTCCTCCTCCAGAAAGCAGGGTGGCTGCTTTTGTTTTCCCTCTGGAAGCGTTTTGCTTTGGTCAGTCTGGACCATGATCCTCCTATTTACACTTCCTAAGTAGTTGAGATGACAGGTGCACATTGCATGAGAACCAGCTTTGTCGGTTAAGATGGGGCCTTGTGAACTTTTGTTGCCCAGACTCTCTTCAAACTGAGCTCCTTCTGATTTCCACCTCCAGAGGAGCTAAGATTATCAGCATTTGACTCTGGAATCAGAGAGATCTGAGTTCGAGATCTACCCACCCATCATTCTTCTTCTTTTTTTTTTTAATACCAAAGAGAAATGGAACCCATGCCATTTACAAGAACACCCTCTCCTTGGCCAATGATTTTATCATCAGGGACTTTTTCGTCAACATCAACTTCCAGTGTGCCTACCCCTTGGATATGAGGGTCAGCCTCCAAACCGCGCTTCAGCCCATTGTGAGGTATGGCGTTGACCTTGCCCTTTGACCCATACTCCCAACTCCCAGTCACGCTCCCAGTACAGTTTCTCCTGCATCTCATTTGAGAGTGTCTACTTGTTCCATTATTTATTCCACAAACATTTGTGGATGGTTCATGAAGGACAGTCCATGTAAACCAAAGCACGTGTGGAATGCTTTGGGATTAAGATTTCTGGAAGTCGTCCTGCAGAAGGAAGCATTACTCATAAGAAAACACAGATTGAGTTTGTTCATCTTGAGAGAGAAAGGCATCCAACCGCTAATTATAGTAGTAATGAGTTATGCACAAGGTGTATGCTATGTAGGAGAAACACGGTGTGCACTGAGTGAGGGTACCGATGTCCCAGCCTTCAGCTGATGGGGTGGAGAAGGTGGGAAGCTGGGGAGATGTTGCAGCAGACTTGAGGTCTAAGTTGAGACCACCTTTGACTGAGTACACAGCACTAGAAGTAGAACTAAGCAACACCTTGGGTAAGATTTGATCTAGGTGGGGCCTTTGTCTATTTCACTCACCAGTGAGCCCCTGTGCCAGGAAGGAGGCCCATGGAGGTCAGGTCTCTAGCATTCCTAGGCTTGCCTGGGGAGTTTTCTGAGCTGTCAGAAAGCCACAATGCCTGTCCCATTCCCTCACCACCTTCTGGGTATACAGAAAGACAGGATCAAAAGGGTTAGATCAGTTAGACTGAGTTTAGAGGTTTTCCAATTGTATCCTGTTGGGATCCATAGTTCATAAAGACCAAATGAAAGTCACTCGTCCTGTTCAAATGGATGTCTCTGTGTGTGTGTGTGTGTGTGTGTGTGTTGGTTTTTGAACTGAGGAATTGTGTGCTCTTCCTTAGCTTTTTTGCTCAAGGCTAACACTCTACCACTTGAGCCACACCTCCACTTCCAGCTTTTTGGTGGCTGATTGAAGATAAGAGTCTCACCAACTTTCCCGCCTGGCCTAGCTTTGAACCACCATCCTTAGATCTCAACCTCCTGAGTAGCTTGAATTAGAGAGACCTGAGCCATTGGTGCCCAGCTTCAAATTTGACTTTTAATTAAAGATGATATGGTGAAGAGAAGGGATTTGAGGTTGAAAATTGTAAATCCCTAGAATTGGTCCCAATAATAAGATGGTGGTGACATGCTCCAACCCCTGGGCTTTGAGTGAGGGACAGATGTGACCTGCCCTGTGGGGAAAAATCAGTGGAAGTCCTAACGACAGACTCATTTGTTTGTCAGGTTTAGCCCCTAGAAACTGGTAAATGCTCTGTGTGCATGGATGGTCGAATTGCTTTAAGGGCAGAGGTGTGCCTTGCTATAAGCATAGGACTTGATTTCTGTTGCTCTTCTTTTGCTCAAAACCTGACGTGTCCCCCTCTTGTACTTTCCCTCTCTCAGTTCCCTGAATGTCAGTGTGGATGGGGCGGGAGAGTTCACAGTCAGGATGGCTCTCTTCCAAGACCAGAACTACATGTTTCCTTACGAAGGGATCAAAGTGGTGCTGCCGGTGGAATCCATGCTATACGTGGGCGCCATCTTGGAGCAAGGTGACACCTCCAGGTTTAACCTGTTGTTGAGGAACTGCTATGCCACTCCCACAGAAGACAAGGATGACCCTGTGAAGTATTTCATCATCCAAAACAGGTGACTCTCCGGCCTTAGCTTTTGACCTTAATAAAATTGGGGGGAGGGAGGGAAATGTTCACATCATCCATGTCTGACAGTTGGTTAAGCTGACTTACCTCATTAAGAAATAAACTGGAATGACATATTATAACCATACCTTTTGATCCAAGAATGTCACAGGAATGGTGCATTAAGCTCAATGTATTCATTCAAGTAAGGTGAACAGGGTTAAGAAATGTCAGTTATTTTCATTTCCATATTCTATTTGGTGGGAGGTGCTACTGGGACTTGAACTCCAGACCTGTGCTTGCTACTAGCCGGCACTCAAGCCATTCCACCAGTCTTTTGTTTGTTTGCATTTCTCCCTGGTCAGTCTGGACCATGATCCTCATATTTACACTTCCTGAGTAGTTGAGATGGCAGGTGCACAATGCATGAGAACCAGCTTTGTCTGTTAAGATGGGGCCTTGTGAACTTTTGTTGCCCAGACTCTCTTCAAACTGAGCTCCTTCTGATTTCCACCTCCAGAGTAGCTAAGATTAGAAGCATGTACCTGAAAATGCATTGGCATTTTCAGTGTCCTCCACAACTTTGGCAATACAATCAGGTTTCAAATACAGCTCAATTAAGTAATGATGGGCTTTTCTACAGGGCATTAGCATTGACCAACATGAAAATGATATAACAAATATTTATAGGACAGATATCACTTTAACACCTTTACTAACAAAAACAAAGGAAAATGCATATTTATAGATCATGCTTAAAATCATAGTAACAGCACTGGATAATATTTATCATGGAGCTTTGCTGTGTGCTGAGCTCTGTGGTAGGTAAGCAATATACACAGAGTCTTATTAAATGCTCACATCAATGCTGCAAGGTGAGTATTCACTTTACAGATAAGAATATTGAGGCATGAGCTGGGTACCAGTGGCTCATGCCTGTAATCCTAGCTACTCAGGATATTGAGATCTGAGGAGTGCATTTCTGAAGCCAGCCCAGGCAGGAAAGTCTATGAGACTCTTATTGCCAATGAACCACCAGAAAACTGGAAGTAGAGCTGTGGCTCAAGTGGTAAAGCACTTGCCTTGAACACAAAAGCGCAGGGACAATTGCCCAGGCCCTGAGTTCGAGCCCTCAAACTGACACAAAATAAAAAAGAAACATGGAGGCTCAGTCAGGTTAATCAACCTGCCAGAAACCCCCCTTAGCTAGGTTAGGTTAGCCTGGAACTTCAAAGGATTACAGCACGTGGGCTGACGAAATAGACACAGAGGAGTAAAGTCTACTCTACCATGATGACAGGCTACCCAGCAGTGTGGCTTATGAGGGCTCACCAAAGTGATGTTGCTGTGGAAGTTACACCTTCGCCTTTCCACCTTCCCAGCTGCCCAAATCAACATGATTCCACTATCCGCGTGGTGGAAAATGGCATTTCCGCGCAAAGCCGGTTCTCCGTCCAGATGTTCATGTTTGCTGGAAATCGCGACCTTGTTTACCTGCATTGTGAGGTCCACCTCTGCGATTCCCTCCAAGAACAGTGCCAGCCTGTGAGTATCTCTTTGGATTGGGTTATTCTGAGCCTGGCACGAGGCTTGGTACCCAAGAAGCTCTCCCTCTTCCCTCTCCCTCCCCCCGCCTCTCTCTCTCTATATGGGATTTTAGATGGAGAGAAAGATGGATGGGTGATGGATGAATGGATGGATAGATAGAAGGAGGTATGTTGGTTGGTTGGGTGGATTCTGGAAGAGATGAGAAGACAGATGGGTGGATGGAACTATGTGAGGGTAGAGGGAGAGGAGAAGGAAGGGTGGATAGATAAATTTTGAACCCTCTTTCCCCCACAACCCATTTATTGAGCACTTCTTGTGTCTCCAGGAGGTAGATCAGTTTTCTTTGGCACAAGACATTTGTGTGTGTGCGGGGGGGGGGGGAGGGAGGGAAGGTGCGCGTGCCAGTATTGGAACTCAGGGCCTAGGTGCTGACCCTTAGCTTTTTCATTCAAAGTCGGGACTTTACTGCTTGAGCCACAGCTCTGCTTCCAGTTTTTTTTTTGTCATAAATTGGAAATAAGAGTCTCATGGATTTTTCTGCCCAAGCTGACTTTGAACCATGATCCTTAGACCTCAGCTCCTCAGAAGCTAGCATTTCAGGCGTGAGCCACTGGCACCGGGCATTTTGCTGAATGATTATAATAACACAAGCTGACCATTCCTGACCCGAGAAAAATCTGAAAATCCCAAAGGGTCTGAAGTTGGAAACTTTTTGAGCCCCAAATGTCTAGCTTTTGATCCTAGCACTCAAGAGGCTGAGCCCCGAGAACCAACAAGTTAGGTTGTTGAGTGAGTTTGAGGTCAGCCTGAGCATAGTGAAAGCCTGTCTCAAAAAATAAAAAGTTTAGGATTTGAGAGCATCGCTGAGGTTTCTGATCTTCAGATTATGCATGATTGATTGAGAATGTCTATGGAGATGTTTCAAAAGCTGAACAATTCTGAAGGCTGAAATACATCTGGCCCCAGATATTTCAGATAAAAGGATGCTTATCCCAGCATCGACTGTTTCAGCGTTTATTGTGTGTCAAACATCATGCCCCATCTAATTTAACTCTCTTAGCAGCCCTTTAAGTAGATTTTTTTAATTGACCTTATTGTACAGATAAGGAAACTGAGGCTCGGTGGGAAAAATTTAGACATGAGCTGTGATTCCAGTGCCCAGGCATGTCTCCTTTTAATCCTTAAATCCAGATATGTCTTATTGAATCATCATAGAGAAGTAAAATCACTTGTCCTCAAATTATACAGTTTATAGAGAATGGAGACGAAATTTAAGCCTGGCTTGACAAGGCAGCAAGAATTCTCACACCTATAATCTTAGCTACTCAGGAAACAGAGACCTGAGGATCATGGTTCAAAGCCAGCTGGGACAGAAAAATCTCTGAGAGGCTCTGACCTCCCAATTGACCAGCAAAAGGCTTGAAATGAAGGCATGGCTCAAGTGGTAGATAGACTATCAGTCTTCAGGGAAAAAAATTCAAGCAAGAGTGACAGACCTTGAGTTCAAGCCCCAGTACTGGCACAAACAAACAAACAAAAAGAGAAGAGAAGGAGAGAAAAGAAAAGGAAATCACAGCATGACTGTGGGCTGCTGTGGTGGATGGGCCCAAATCATAGGTCCAGGGGGCCATGACCTGACAGCTTGCATAGGAACCGTGCATTTCAATCTTTTGAGTCATGCTTTTATTTTAATTTTCCTCTCATTATGTTCCACATTTATGAAGTTAGCGAAACCTCAGAACACTATAGAGTTTTAAAGAATCTCATGAAAAGAAGCTCCAAGGGGGTGGGTCACTCTAACTTAACTCTTCACTAGGAAGAAAAATAACATTTGAATAAGGATATTTACATTATGTTTATAAAGATTGCAAAGTGACAATTCTTCAGTGTGTAAAATCTAATTTCTTTTGGGGATCTTGTGCCTGCCAAGCTAATAAGATATTCTTCCTAATAGCATCATTTTTTGGTTCTAATTTAGTCCTAAAACATCTTGTCTTCTATTGCAATAACATTATTTCATATATGAACTCTCTAATATAATTTCTTATTATGTAAGCCAACCCTCTTAGATATAACTGTATTGTACTAAGTAACATGAATATTTAGAGGGTTAGTTCTTCTCTTTTTCATAATTTTTGAAAGGGCTATTCTGGATCTCATCTTCCCTCCAAATATTAGTGATGTCCATTTAGGAATCTACGTCTTTGTGTGTGCATATGCGTGTGTGCATGTGTGTGTGTGTGTGTGTGTGTGTGTGTGTGTGTGTACTTGAACTGAGTGTATTTCAATCTTGATATGAGAATCTTTGTTTGTTTGTTTTTTTAAATCTCCCAGTTCTGCTCAAGAAGTCAACTCCGGAGTGAAGTGGCGGCCATCGACCTAGCCCAGGTTCTAGACTTGGGACCCATCACAAGGACAGGTATGTGTCTGCATCCTGGTGACTAGCCCAGCTGTCCAAGAGCTAACAGCCACAGATGCCTGAGGTCACCAATGCCAACCACACATGTGTGTGTATGTGTGCGTGTGCATGCGTGCACATGCAAGTGCATGTATGCATGTGGGTGTTCAGGTCCTGGCTCTTGAATTCAGGACCTGGGCACTCCCCTTTAGCTTTTTTGCTCAAGGCTGGTGCTCTACCACTTACTTGAGCCACACTTCCCACTTCTGGCTTTTTGGTGATTAGTTGTTGATCAGAATCTCTCAGGGTTCTCTGCATGGGCTGGCTTTGAACTGTCACCCCTCAGATCTCAGCCTCCTGAGTAGCCAGGATTACAGGCCTGAGCTGCCAGCACCTGGCTACTCAGGGCTTTCTACCCCTAGTCTAGCCACTTGTGGCAAATCTATCCCATTATGAAGGAGAATTACATTTCCATTTGTCAGGGACCTCCCTTATGCCAGAGAATTGGCTGAGCCCCACCATTTACCGGCTTAGTTAATCTTCCTACAACTGTGCTCATTTTACAAAAGAGAAATCAAGACTCACTGAGGCAAAAAAGACTCAGCTAAGATTCCCTCCACCCCCACCCTGGGCATGCATGATGAGAGTTTGGATTGAACCTCACTCAGTCTGATTCCAAGCATGGGGCCTTCTAACTGCACCTCCTCCCCATTCCTATAACTCAGGGTCTGTGGGTGAAGTCTACACCCCAACCCCTGCATAAATACACCATGATTTTCTGACAAGTGATGGCATTTTTCCAAAATGCAACTACAATCTTTCAGAGATACAACCTAGAGGCCTCTCTCCAGTTGCTTCAGACCATCATCCATCCTTCACATGGGGTTGCGGGATTGTCACGGTTTTGATTTCCATTAGAATGGAGAAGTCCAGACACCCAAAAAGAATGCAATGTTTAATCGTCACAGAACCACGTTATCCTTATGTTTGACATTAGACCAAACCCCTTTCCATGAGCCATAGTCTGGCTCACACAGGAGGTACTGCCCCAAGTTGTTCTGTATCTTTATTGACCCCTCAACTGTGGGGTCACAGGATTACTAGGAGAGGATGGGAGTCAGCAAGTTCCTCTTTGAAACTGAACATACTAGGGTTCAAAACTCAGTGCTGACTGGGAAGGTCCACCTAGCAAGTTCTTCAACATTGGTAAGCCTAGGTCTTCTCATCAGTCAGATGCTCAAGCAGATACTTGCTTCACAAGGAAGACTAAATTTAAAATGCAGGAAAAACTAAGCACGGATGGCTCATGCCTGTAATCCTAACTACTCAGGAGTCTGAGATCTGAGGATCGTGGTTCAAAGCTAACCAAGGCAGGAACATCCCTGAGACTCTTATCTCCAATGAATCTCAGAAAAAGCCAGAAGTGGAGCTGTGGCTCAAGGGGTAGAATGTTAGCCTTGAACAAAAGGAGCTCAGGGACAGCGACAGGCCTAGAGTTCAAGCTTCAGGACCAGCAACATAAAAACAAACAAACAAACAAATAAATCAATCAAATGCATGGAATGCATTTAGGAAGGCATCTGTCAAGCTGGACACCAGTGGCTCATGCCTGTAGTCTAAGCTACTCAGGAGGCTGAGATCTGGAGTTAGCCTGGAAGAAAAGTCCACCAAAATAATCAGCACAAAGCCAGACTGAAGGTGTGAGTAAAATAGTAGAGAGTCAGTCAAGCCAGCCAGCCAAGTGATTGTGCAAGACCCTGAATTCAAGCTCTGGTACTGGCAAAAAAAAAAAAGTAAGAAATGTACACAATATCCTGCCCATGTAATTGTAACCCCTCTGTACAGTATGTTCACAAATAAAATTAAATTAAATTTAAAAAAGTAATACTAACTATCAAATATATAACTATCAAATAACAGAGGTGGCCACCATGTGGGTTGCCAGGGGTTTTGATGATCAGGTGCAGGAAATTTTGGAGCAGTCACAACCCCAGTGCTACAGCTGCCCTGCACCATTAGGAGATTCTCACGGCAATCTCTTTCACAGGTGCCCAGACCCTTGGCGTCATGAGCGGAGCCCCTAGCATGGCAGGTACGTGCCTTTCCTGGAATCCTCCTGGCTCTCTCCTCTTCCTCTTTTCAACCTTCCCAGTTCACACTTATGTGCCAAGCCCTGTACTAGGAACTGTGGATGTTGAACGCAGACTCAAGACTAGCTCTGCAGTTGATCAGAGGGCACAGTCCCCGAACACCAAGAATATATTGCTTGTGCTGTATCAGGCATTGTTCAAGTATTGAATGTACAATGGTAAGATCAGGTGCCTGCCCTCACACGGCTTATGATTTGCAGTGGGAAACAGAAAATCTAAGTGAACAAGCTAATTTAGAAATAAGACAGCATGATCGAAAATTACCAGTATTAGTAATACTATCTTAAATATTTGTTGAATGCTTATTTCTCTTGTACATAAAATGAAATCTAGAGACAAACAATCCAGGGCTAATGGAATGGCACCATTAAGACTGCGATCCAGGCTTTTTCCAGCATACCCCTTCATCATCTGCAGGATGTAGCCACCATTTTTATGGTCCACGATGGCAGCCAGAAAGCCAGCCTTCCCATCTAGGTAACAAGACAGAGGAACTTGGAAATAGATAAGCGTTAAGGAACATTCTGGAAACTGGCATCTCATACCTCCACTTCCTCCTCCATGACCAGTGCATAGACAGTCACATGGCCAAACCTGACAACTATGGATGCTGAAAAGTGTTATCATTAGCCTGGATGGCCACGTGCCAGTCAACATTGGATGGTTTTATTATCAGAGTAGGAAGGAGGAGTGAGTATCAGCATGGGTTTAGAAGAAATTCATAAGAAATGATAGTACCCAAATGAAAGAAAAAGTGAACCAGATATTGGCAAACACTAGGGAAATGGAGAGAGCAACAGTTCATTGCCAAAATGAGATATGACTTGATCAAACAAGTGGGAAGCTGATAGTACAGAAAAAGTATATGCAACACTAACAAACTACATTGGAAAAGGTCCAGAGAAAATTTGATCAGGTCAGTAACATCTGAATAGAGGTGTGTGTGTGTGTGTGTGTGTGTGTGTGTGTGTGTGTGCCAGGACTGGGGTTTGAACTCAGGACCTGGGCACTGTTCTTTAGCTTGCTTGGTCAAGGTTGTCACTCTTTGATCCTCAGATCTCACCCTCATCAGTAGCCAGGATTGTAGGCATGAGGTTCTGGTACCTAGCTTTGAAGAGTTTTGATAAATGATGTGGTGTAACAGGCAGATAAACAGAAGATAACTATTTGGGACAGAGTAGAAAACATGCTTTAAGATTCTACTACCCAACCCAAAAGTTCACTATTAATGAACTCAGACATGAAGAACTTCTTTCCATCTAGCTAGACAGCCATCTAAACATCTCCCAGAGGAATCCAAGACATCCTCTGTATGCAGAATAGCATTCAGACCATGCTCATGAAAAGATAGAGGACAGAGTAAAAACACCTTGAAGTCAGAGACCTTAAATCCCATTTGTGTTACCAGTCCCTCAGGGGACTCTTCCACCAGTGGAGTTTAACCAACTAATTTTTGGGGTGGGTTTTGCTTGGATCGTTCTGGCCACAAGAGGGAAAATCACCCCAAAAGGGAGTCATGGTCCTATCATTTGTTATCTCCCTCAATCTCTTCTGAGGTTTCAGAAAAACATCATTGAATATCACCCGGGAGCCTGTAGCTTCTGCAAGTAATCCTAGCTACTCAGGAAGCTAAGATCTAAGGATTGTAGTTCAAAGCCAGTCTGGGCAGGAAAGTCCATGAGACTCTTTTCTCCAATTAACCAGGAATAATGATGATGTTTTTGTTGTTGTTGTTGATGATGATGATGGTGGTGGTGGTGGTGGTGGTGATAGTGATGTTGGCAGTGGAGCTGTGGCTCAAGTGGTAGCTCCCCAGCGTTGAGTGGAAAAGCTAAGGGACAGAGCCCAGGCCCTGAGTTCAAATTTGTGAGTATGGGAGAGGGTCCACATGTTTCTCCAAAATCCCTAGTACAACACAATCATCACACAATGCTGCATTTCTGTATACTGAGTACACTGTGAGATACAAATAAGGCATGACCCCAGCATGATCTTAGAGCCTATTTTTCAAAACCAACACATAAATAGTGCCTACTATAAGCTAGGCACTGTTCTAAACATTTCACATAGCTTTACTCCTTTAAGCTTTACAAACTCTGGCAAAGTAACAGTTTCTGTTAATATTTCTGCTTTGCATATAGGGAAACCAAGGCATGTAAAAGTTTTTCTTGTTGTTGTTACTGCTTGCTTGGTTTAAAAAAATCTTATTTGGCACTGACCAGCTTAGTTATAGATCTAAAATTCTAAGGCACTTGGGCCTCAGTAGCAGTACTTTTTAACCTGATGTCTTCTGGCTTCTTTAGAGTTGGCCAGTATAAGTAATGCTAGCTGCTGTAACAAAAACCAACAACCACCACCAAGTCCTCTCTGCTTTTACACATATGATATGATTTACTGGGAGGAGGAGGGGCTGCAATTCTGATGTAGTTGTTGAGAACTCAGGCTCCTGCTCCCTTCTGGTAACTTCTGGAAACTCCTTTATCCTTGGCGTTCTTATTCTGGATGGTGGCTGAGGGAGTAGGCAGGATCAGGTCTCCAAATGTCATCTGTGACTTCTACTCACATTGAATTGGCTAGTTGTGGCCTGGAAAGGAGACTGGGGGAAACAAAATTGCCTTCCTGTATGCCTGGTACAACATGGAAAAAAGTGGCTAGTGATTCGATAGCTTTGCCTCTACCATATCACTTGCCTTGTAACCCAGAGCATGCGTGCGGATGTCCTGCCTTTGTCATCTGTGCAGCAGAATGACAACGAACCAAACTCGTGTTTGCTGCCAAGTCCCAAAGCCCCACTCCTGACTGTCCTGTCTTTTGTATTTCAGGATTCCTGGCAGCCTGGCCTGGCCTCCTCCTGCCTGTCCTCCTGGTTTGGCTGTTCTGAGAACCCGGCAGGGCATCTGGCCTTGAAGTCTTTGCTTTTCCCTTCCTAGCAATGTCTACCATTCACTTTCAGCACAGCTGGGTTGCTCACACATGACAGGGGCAGACTCAAGGCTGGCCTAGGTTTGGGGGGGGAAAGGAGAGTGTGTTCACTTCCTTTAATGTAGGAGAATGTCTTGTTTTCCTCATTGTGGAAGCTGGTTCTGGACTGGCCGTATCCTCTTCTCATTCATCTGTGGGACTTGGAAAGCAAATCCTGTGGCTCCCGCCTTTCCTAGAAATATTGAGTAGGTTGATGACTCCTAGAAAGATGTGTCCTGTTGTGGTGGGGGTGATCCTTTACACGTGTCTTCCCTCCTGGCTGCTGATGAACCGCATACATTGACCCTTGCATGGCCTCTGTGTCCTCTGATGCGTTTCCATCCTGGTCTCACCAGTCGCCATGGGAACAGCTAAGCGGAGACACTTTGGGAACTCTCAAAGGGAAGACTGGTCCCTTAGCTCCCTGCCTCCGATCCAACACCAGTGATTGGCTTAGCAGTATGCACACTACTACCCTGGGGACCTGTAAGCCAGAGGAATGGCTTGATTTTGATGTAGAGATGTCATGACTCCCGGGAGCATCTCTTCATGTAAGAGCGGTGCACTTGCGCCGCTAATTATATCAAGAGTCTGCTATTATATCAGGAGTCCTGGCCATCAATGATGCAGTAAAGGATCCTGGTGTGCAGACCTAGCACAAAGCATGGGGGATGGGTGGTCATCTCCCTGGATGACCTGTGTTTGGGCAGCAATCTCAAAGATGCCACCAACAGCAGACCCCTCAAGATGGCCTCAGGAAGCAGGGTCAGGATCCCTGGCTGTGGAGCCTGTTTGGTATGCGATCGCTTGGCTGTGAGAAATAGAAACTCTTAATAACTGAAGCAAAGGGGAATCAATGATAGGGAGACAGAGCATGAAGATCGAGGATGGGAGAAAACACCCCCAGGCTACAAGACGCCCACGTTTGTTTACCTTTCCATCTGTCACTCTTCCGGAACCATTACCTCTACCTCTGCTCATCTCTCGGGAGCTATTTTTCTTTCTTGTTCATCCCTTGATTGAATAGGAACATTCTAGTTGCCCATCTCTTCTCATTTAAGAACCAGACAGGCACCGATCGCTCATGCCTGTCATCCTAGCTACTCAGGAAGCTGAGATCTGAGAATTAGCTAGCCTGGACAGGCAAGTCCGTGAGACTCTTAGCTGCCATTAACTACCACCAAAACTAACTAACTAAATAAAGCCAAAAGTAAAGCTGTGACTTAAGTGGTAGAGCACTGGCCTTGAGCACAAAAGCTCAGGGACAGTGCCCAGGTCCTGAGTTCAAGCCCCAGAAGAGGCACACACACACACACACACACACACACACACACACACACACACACACACAGAACCAGCACAGGTTGACATTTAGATTTCCCAGGGGAGAGGGAGGGTGCTCTGGTCCTCTGCTTAGGTCAGGGTGCTTCTCAAGTCTATTTGTTTGAAGCCAGGTGACTGGGGTCAGCTAGTCCAAACACAGACAACAGGGCAGACCTCATAGCCAGGTCTCAAACAAACAGGTCTCCTAAACTGTATTGTCATGTTCTAAAGGAATGAATGAATAGCTGAATGTCAGGAGCAAAGGAGCATTTCTCACTTGGACAAGTACAGGCCAAGTTCGAATATGAAACAGGAATGCTGAGCTGGATCTCAGACATGCATTCCCATTCCAGTCTTATAGAAGGCTGAATTCTTGCCCCTTTAGTCTCCAGCTTCTGTGGCTTCAAGAGAGATTGGTTGAGTCGGGCACTGGTGGCTCACGCCTGTAATCCTAGCTACTCAGGAGGCTGAGATCTGAGGATCGAGGTTCAAAGCCCAGGCAGGAAACCACTAGAAAACCGGATGTGGCTCAAGTGGTAGAGCGCTTGCCTTGAGCTGAAGAGCTGAGGGACAGCACCCAAGCCCAGAGTTCAAGCCCCACAATGGACAAAAAAGAAAGAAAGAAAAAACGAAAGGTTGGTTGGTTGGGAATCTGAACATGTGTGTGTATGTGTGTGTGTGTGTGTTTTCACTGAAGAAGCTTGTAATAGAACCAGTACATAAGAGGCAAGCAAATGGAAAGATCCTCAAGCAGTTACTGTTTAATGGCAAGAAGGGAGATTTCCTTTTTAAAAATCCAAGCCTAGCAGGCAAAGAACCAGAACCACAAATATAGGACATTTATTTGAAGACCAAGCCAAAGGCCAGATTCTAGGAGCCTCTAATTTTAAGAACCTTACAGGTTGACTGGGTTGGTAGGGGAGGTAGAAGGAGGGTGTCTTGTTTGCATGGATTTTGTGATGGTGTCTAAACCCAGCTCTAGTTCACTGAGAGGAGCTTCAGTTCTAAAGAGTACAATCTCTGGATCCTGGACCCCAGGTGCCATTGTACAACTTCCCCCCTTCCTTTTGTGCTAAAGAGAATTGCTGCCCAAACAACTCCACAGGCTTGCTAGAGAAATAAAGGAGATGGGGGAGGGTGGAGAGGTGCTGGTACAGACGATAATTCCAACATTATTACCACCATCCTTACTCATTTCTTCTCCACTAAATGATGAAAGCTGTTCCTCCTACATATGCCTTCCAGGGGTATGGGTTCCTTAAAAGAATTACAAGGCAGGAAGGTGTTTAAAGCAGACACAACAGGTTTATTTCAAAGTGACAGGAAAGTACTGAGGCTCTCCTAAGAGAAGGCACCCCAAAGAGGAATCCAATGGTGGCTTTTGCCCTGATTGCTCAATGGCTTGTCTGTGTACCACCCCAGCTCTTTCCATTGGTTGAGTGGGGACCCAAGGCATTATGGGAAGAAGAAGCTCCATGATGAGCTGTGTGTGCCCACTATGTGTTATGTCCACGATTTGAAAAATCTCTGAGGCCAAACTCTAAGAGAAAGCCAATCTTAAAAACTGTCATATTGTCAGGGGCTTGTGGATGGGAATTCCCTCTCCCTTCAACACATGGAATTATTCTTTATGAACACTCAGTACGGACCAATCAACCTGTCAAACATTTTAGACTTCCTGATGGATTCTTTAATTCAGTCTTCCTGGAAGCCTTTGAGACAGAAACTGCTATTCCAATTTACAGAGGAGGAAACTGAGGCACGGAGAGGTTTAAGGAACTTCCCCAGCATACAGGTAATGCATGCCTGTTGCTTATTTAGCCCACGGAAGACAAGCACTTCTGACTTCTCCCTTTACAGCTGAGGAAGTTGATATTCAGAAGGGTTAGGAAACTCATCAAGGCTGCACCATACGGAGATGACAGAATCTACGGATGGAAGTCAGGATCACTTAAAGATGAGAGGTACTCACACGCCTCTCACATGAGCAGTCTAAAAATGTGCCTCAGACTTGTGCCAAGTGTGTGTGTGTGTATGTGTGTGTGTGTGTGTGTGTGTTTATGAGCATGTGTGTGAGCACATTGTTGTATGTTGTGAGAAACAGAAGCCACATTTTGAGAGGTTGGATAGGGAGTCTTTATTGGAAAGCTGGCAACCACAGGTGCTATCTTGTCATAAAGACCTGTAGCCCCTCCAATACACTTGACACTGTTTTAGAAAACTGAGCCATGAGGGCAGGAGAGGAAAGGAAGAACAGAAACCCAATCTCGACAAACCAGATCAACTCCAATGGAGAGCTGAGGCGGGACCCCATGGGGACTGGAGGAGAGCCAGGAGTCAGGAGACACAGGAACGAGGCATGGTGTCTGAGCTGGTCCAGGCTTAAATAGGGTCAATGCCAGGGGGCAGGCTCACAGGCAACTCAAGAGTCTCCCAAGTTCAAGGCACAGGACTGACAAGTCCAGTAACCTATCATCCAAGTGCCTGCCCCTGCCTCTAGGAATTCAGGTATGCCCATCACCTGGGGGTGGAACTTCCCTGCCCCTACCATGAAGACAAGATGATGCCAGTTAAACCCACTGTGTGGCCAAGATGGCACCAATTAAACCTAGTCCCTTTATTTCAACACACACCTATATAGGTATATATTACCTTCTCCTACATGTACCTCCTAGTGGTATGGGTTCATTAAAGAGTTACAAGGCAGGAAGTTTTTTAAAGCAGACAGAGCAGTTTTTTTTCAAGCTTATGTGTGCTTGTGTGAATGTGTGTTCCTGTGCATATACATGTTTGTAAGGTTGGAGGAGGGAGGTGGCAGTCTCTAGTTAACTTCAGTCAAGATGAAAGATACTAAAAGCACACTTACAGGTTGGGGATATACTCAAGCAGTAGAGTATCTTCCTGGCAAGATCAAGGCCTTGAGTTCAAATCCTAGTACTGCTCCAAAAGAAAAGCCTATCAAAAAGCATTCTTCAAGCCCAGCGCTTGTGGCTGACACCTGTCACCCTAGCCACTCAGGAGGCTGAGATATGAGAATTGTGGTTCAAAGTTAGCCCAGACAGGAAAGTTCATGCGACTCTCATCTCCAGTTGACCACCACAAACCAGAAGTGGAGCTGTGGCTCAAAATGGTAGAGCATTAGCTTTGAGCTAAAAAAAAGCTCAGGGACAGCACCCAGGCCCTGAGTTCAAGCCCTATAGCCCAAAACAAAACAAAACAAAGAATTCTTCACTGGGTGTTCATAGCACACACCTGTAATCCCAGCACTCAGGAGGCTAAAGGCAGCCCGCAGTACAGAACAAGTCTTGTCTCAAAAAATAAATAAAACACAGTAAAAAGAAAATGAAATAAAGGGAAAGAAAGCATAATAAAATGACTCTTCTTGAGCATCCTTGAGATCCTTCCACCCTGAGCGGGAGCTCAGAGAAGTCACTGGACCTGGGAGACAAAGAGAACTTCACAGATGAAATCATTTAGCCCTCTCCTCTGTCCCCAGGGAAACAACACCCAGAGTGCAATGGGCCAGGAGCGAAGAAATTCATATTTCAGTCTGATGCGATGTGAGAGCTCAAACACACCATTTCCCTTCCCCTCGAGTCTTCTGTAAATTAACATAATGATGCCCCAGCTGCTAGGCTAGAAGCTCTATGACTCTGTCATCGACAAACTGTGGATGTCAAACTTCCAGCCCTAGTCCAAGCCTCGTTTACCCAGCCTGAGGCTACTTCTAGACAAATTTCCACTAGTCATATTAGCCTCAGACCCCCTCCCCCACCCCTGGTTGGTTTAGAAGCCAGGAGAATTACCCCTCTGGTGCTGAAATGCCAGGCAGGGAGGTGGTTTGAAAACTGAGAGCACAGAAAGATGACTCTTTGATGGATTGCTTTGGGCTGGGGCCCTGTCACCAGCAACTTGGCCAATCTCTCTTCATCCTTCAGGAGCTCAGGGCAACTGAGAGAGACTCCTGGCCTTGGCCAGTGTGACATAACGGC